ACTATTAAACGAGATAATAATTGTAAAGCACTTAGTAGAGAGCTTGGCACATAGCAGGTGGTATATAAATGTTAGCTACTGCTGCTGGCTGTACAGGCAGAAAGTAGCAGAGCCAAGACTTAAACTGAGGTCTTCAAGCTCCATAACCAGCATTCTTTCCATTTCATTCTGTGCTAAAATGTCCCCTCCTACAGGTAGTCTATCCCAATCTCTCTTAATCTGTGCAGTACATAAAGTTTGTTTGGGCCCAGTTATTCGCATGTCATCTACCCTAATAGACTGTGAGCTCCTTGAAAGCAAGGGTTGTCTTTTTCCTTTCTTTGTATCCCTTATGCTTAGCACAAATAGTAGGCACTTAATGTTTGTTGACTGACTGCTAGGTTCTGGGTGGGTGGGGGGATGAAGGGATATGTAAGACACAGTAATACACTCTTAAAGAATTTAAAACCTACTTGTAGAAAGAACATATGCATGTGCACACACAGATACGCATATCAAGATCAATGACAATTCATGAAAGCCAATGGGAAGTAACCATGCTGTTGTCGTCATTGTTTGTCCTTCGTTCTTGAAGAGGACCATGACATCAGGGGGGTGATGCCATGACATTCAAGTGAATTGGAGTTAAGTAAAGGCTGGCTATGCAAAGTCACCAGCCTCACTTTCTCCTTCAGAGCCATCTGGGTCCACTGGCCAAATGTAGATCACAATACTACAGTACCAATTTAAGGAGATAGGTTTGGCTTCTGAGCCGGCATGATTAGGGACTTGTTCTAGATCACCTGTGCGGAAGAATCTCAGATTATTCTAATGGGGAGGAGAAGAGAGTGAATGAAGACAGAACCAGAAAATACTAAAGTAGACACAGGGGCAGCTTTGAGTTGACCAGCATGGCTGGAGCAGAGTTGGTATAGGGAACAGTGATTGAAATACATTTTTGTTCACAGCCATTTAGGGAAATTGTTTTGTTTGACTAAGCAAAATTTGTTAGAAGAGGTTTATTTTTCTTTTCTTCTTCCAATTGGGTGAGGGATGGTACAGAAAAAAATAGATTTCTTTTATTTCCAAAAAATGGAGAAGTGAAGGAGGTGCTGCTCCAGATTTCAGATGAGGTCACTGTTTTATTAGTTTTACTTAATTGTTTTGCTTTGTTACAAGAGAGCTCTCACAAAGTGGGATTAATCTATAAATGTTTGCAATGCAAAAACAGGACACATCAATAAAGCTTAAAAATAGAAATAGTTGGAAAATTAGACTAGAACAGCCTCCAGAAGGCCTTGGGTTCCAGGATCAGGAGTTTGCACTTCATCTTCTAGGTAATGGGGAGCTGTGAAATGTGTATGAGTAGGGGAAGGACCTAAGCTTCCTGAAACCTTCTTTGGAAGATTAGGCTTTCAGTAATGTGTGGTACGAACTGGAGAATGAAAGACAGGATTTGGGAGGCCATTTGTAGGAAGTTATGTCAATCTGCCCAGGAGGTGGTGGTAAGTTAAAGGTAGGACTTGGAAACAGGAGTGAAAAGGAAATGATGGTTGTGAAAGACACCAAGAAGGAAGGATCAGTTGCATTTGGCATCTGGCTCCTATTTCTGTCACAAAACTAGTCCAGGCCACAGTTCCCCTAGTACAAAATGCAGAGGTCATTTGAAGCAAATCAATATAGCTTAATGTTTTAATAATAGACTAATGGTATATTTCTCCCAGGGGCATTTGTGTACCACATAGACTTTGGCCCACACTTCCAGATTCAGGAAAGCTATTGCTGCCTCTCAGGCTTACATGGTATACAGTGATTTACAGGCTGGCTCTTTTCTCTATTGCCATCAGCTATATCCCACCCCCTCTACTCTTTACAGTGAGGTACCACTGACTAGTGCCCTAGTTCCATTTTACACTTAAATTTAATTACATTTTACAAAGAGTTATTTACGTTAAAGATATAGGAAGTGAGAATAAATGTATGAATATTTCCTCCGATTACCTTAGGCACCACACTGTCCACTACACCACCATGGTCTCTGAACTTAGCTCAGTTCCTAGATAGTATTGGCCCTACCAAGTTCATGTCCTCAACTTTCTTTGGCATGGGACTCGAAAGTCATTCCTGAAGGTCCCTACTTGCTCTTCAGACCTGGGCTAGAGGCAAAATTGAACTTGGACCATGATTCTTACATCCTTATGACTTGCTTTTTTGACCTTTAAAAATTCACAATGTCAGAGACTCTACTCCTTCCACCTAGAATAGAAAGGAACAAAAGAAGAGACCAAATATGGAGGACCATTTCTCAGGGCCTCTATGGGAGAAGGCCTCAAGGCCTTTCCCCTTTTAGCTATCTCTTACCAGACACTGAGTGTAAGAGTCTGACTAGAAACAAAAGGGCAAAAATGGCTATGGCAAGAAAGACACTATAGAAACCGACAAAGACCTTTGGAATGTCTCTACAGACAATTAAAGTCTTCTACTCATCATACGATTGGGGAATTAGAAGCAGGTGCAGAATATCCACACATATTCTATGGCCCCTTCTCTTATACTTCATCATGTCTTCCATGAAAGAACTCATCAGCTTTTCCACATGGGGAACTTACATGACCTAAGCAAAATGAAGCACTTTGCACCTGGCCAGACCCTTCCTATGTGTGCACAATCAATCAATCGATAAGCACTTATTAAGTGCTTACTATATGCTATGATGATATAGCAACAAAGATGAAATTATCTGTTCGCTCAAAGAGGTGACATCCTATTGAGATTACAATAGATGACTCCTTGGCATGGCAGCTAGGTTGCTCAGTAGGTAGAGTTCTGGGCTTGGGGTCAAGGAGACTCATCTTTATGAGTTCAAACCCACCCTCAGACACTTACTAACTGTGTGACTCTGGACAAGTCACTCAATCCTGTTTGCCTCCTTATCTGTAAAATGAGCTGGAGAAGGAAATAGCAAACCACTCCAGTATCTCTGCCAAGAAAGCCCCAAATGGGATCAAGAAGTCAGACACAACTCAATCACAAAGAAAACCGTGGTCTTAACCCAAAGAATTATCTTTAATGATTCCATTTTTATTACCATTCTAGGTAGGGAAGACATGTTTTCCCCCAGAGAATGGAGGTGACCCAGCAATCATATCACATGGGAGACAATGTGAGGTACTGGAAGGGATATCACCTTTGATTTGGCAATGGGTGTTTTTCCTGGCTTTGGCACCCACCATCTATGTCGTCATGAGAAAGTTCGTGTGTCTCAGTTTCCTCATCTATAAAACAAGTCTGTTAAGTTATTATATTAACTACCTCACAGTAAGAAAATCACTTTATAAACTTGAAATGTTATAGCAATCAAAAACTTTCAGTTGAATGTGATCTGTAGGACTATCGAGGCCAAGCCATACCTGTCTGTCAAGGCAGTCTATTGTATTTTGGGACAACTCTTATAGTTGGTAAATATTTCTCTTATAAATCTAAATTTATTTCTGAAACTTTCACACCTTGTTCCTAGTTCTTCTCTCTAGGGTAACACTGAACAGTTTAATTCTTCTTTTTTTTTTTTCCAGTGAGGGTTTAGTGACTTGCCCAGAGTCACACATCTAGGAAGTATTATGTGTCTGAGGCTGGATTTGAACTCAGGTTCTCCTGACTCCAGGGCCGGTGCTTTATCCACTGTGCCACCTAGTTGCCCCTGAACAGTTTAATTCTTCCATGTACTCTTCACATACTAGAATAGGAGGTATTGTCATAAGTGATTGTTTGTGTAATAGGTCAGCTCTTGTGGGACTGGCTAGCAACTTCTAGGTAACACAGTGTGGCAGGGGCCACCCACCTGATCAATGAAAATAGAATGATTTCCCTTTCTGGCTCAAAAATCCTGAAACCCTATGGGAATTGAGGTTGGCAGGTATGAGTATGCCTTAGATAGAAAATTTTTACCCTAATGTAAAAAAGACCCTTGGTCAGGTGAAAACACTTTCTGTTTTAAGCATGTTAATATTTTTGTTTTCCTGGCATATCCCACCCCTAAATGAATAGAGCTTTGGTCTGCATTAAGAGGAAGTCCTACTCTACTTTGCCCTGATCATAGCATATACAAAGTATTGTAGCAGTGTCCTGATAGGTTGATAAGAATCCAAAAGACAGCAAAAGGAATGAACACAAGGGTGGGTTTAAGCCAGTGTGAACCCACTCAAAAGAATCCAATGCTAAATTTTCAACGTGAGCATTTACACCTCAGAAATTAGCAAATGCTATGAATCAGGGCTTGAGTTATTATTTTGTTGACTGTCTAGATTTAAGAAAGTGACAGAGAAATTATTAATAACACAGATTAAACTTAAATGTGTGTGTGTTTTTTTTTTCAGAGAGATGCCTGAAGTCCATATATAATATGAGTATTGGTTGAAGGACCTGGTTATGTTTAGGCTGGAGAAGAGAAGATTCAATAGGTGGCTCATGGCCTTTAGCATCAAATATAAAATCCTCTGTTTAATGTTCAAAGCCTTTCATAACCTAGCTTCCTCCTACCTTTCTAGTTTTCATGTATAGCTCATTCCCCATCACACTCTTTTGTCTAGCTCATGGCTGTTCCACAAGCTAGACCCTCTGTGTCTCAGCTGTGAGCACTTTCTCTGGCCATGCCTAATGCTTGGCATGCTCTCCCTCCTCAGGTCCCCCTTGTGATCTCCCTGGCTTCCTTCAAGTACCCACTAAAATCCCATCTTTTACAGGAAGCTTTCCCCAACTCCCCTTAATTGTAGTACCTTCCCATCATTATTTCCTATTTACCCCATATATAGCTTGCATTGTGTATATTTGTTTGCTTGTCTCTCCCATTAGACCATAAGCTCTTTTAGGCAGGGACTGTCTTTGGCACAGTGCCTGGCACAGTGTAGAAGTTTAATAAATGTTTATGGACTGACTGATGGGTGGGTGGGGGACATGATAGCTGTCTTCAAATATTTATTCTGTCATGTGGAATAGGGATGAGTCTTGTTCTGTTTGGCAAAACCAGGAGCAGTTGGTAAAAATTTCAAAGAGGCATATCTAGCTTTGATATGAGAATGTTTCCTAAGAATGAGAGCTATCTGTCCCTTCAATGCACGGCTATGGGAGACTCATGGAGGTCTTCAAGCAAAGTCTGAATAACCACTTGTCAGGTATGCTGTGCTGGGAGCTCCTTTATGCAGAGGTTCTCTACGTGGGACTTGTGAAAGTATTTTTTAAAACATTTTTATAAATGTATTTCAATATTATTGATTTCTTTTCTAACCTGATGTATTTTATTTTATGCATTTAAAAACATTCTTCTAAGAAGGAGCTCATAGGCTTCATCAGACTGCCAAAGTAGTCCATGACATAAAAAAAGTTAAGAACTCTTGATTCTGGGGTATGAGTTCGACTAAGTGGCTGATGATGCAAAATTCCATTCCTTTGCTCCTGAGCATATCTAGCCTCCAACCATCAATTAAATCAATGAATTCAACCTTACTTTTGTTTCTGTCAAGAGTGTTATAATCCATTGTCCTATAATTCTGCTCAAAATACCAGCAATTCAGAATTATAGGCTGCTTAGTCTCATCAGAAGTGGTTCCATCCGCTAACCACTACTTACTGCTTCCTCATATCCATCCATGTCAGCCCCTTCCCTCCAGGGTCCCTAGCCCACTCTACTCCACTGTGACACTCCACTGTGCCCTTTGGAACTCCTGTTCTATTGTTAACAAACTTCTCTCTATATTAGAGTTATATCTTCCCTCTAGGAAAGTACTTTGTATATATTTTGAATTTAATTTTCTCTGTATGTGTTGTTTTCTCCCTACCGATCAGATGCGAACTTCTTAAAGGCTGGAGCTATTGTTTTGTCTTTGTTTCAATGTCATTGTCCCCCATGACAAGTTCAGTGTTTGGTAAATGATAGTCTCCTAATACTTGATGAACTGAATTAAAATTAATAAATGGAGGGTGATTTGGAGGAATACCCTATTTCTGTAAGAGGGGGCTGTAATAATGCAAATAATAATAAGTGACATTCACATAGTGCCTACTGTGTGCCAGGCACTGTGCTAAGCACTTTACAAATTATTATCTCATTTGATCCTCTCAACAACCCTGGAAGGTAGGTGCTCTTATTATCTCTATTTGACAGATGAGAAACTGAGATGGATAGAAATGAAGTGACTTGCCCAGGGTCACACAGCTTGCAAGCCAAATTTGAACTCAGATCTTTCTACTCCAGGCCTGGTGCTTTATACACTATACCACCTAGCTGCCTTGATAGTAGTAATCTTACCTGAACTAGATTACTATTATAATCCTTTAACTGGTCTTTCTGCCTCTAGTCTAGCTCCTTGACAAGCTATTATATTAAGTATAATATTATTGAATTACCTTAATTAGCCTGAATTACCTTCCTAATGTGCCATTTTAATTACATCACTCTTCTACTCCAACAAACCCAGCAATCAATTTAACAACAAGCATTTATTAAATGTCTATTATGTGCCAAGCACTGTATTAAGTGCTAGAGATAAAAATAAAAAAAGAGATACTTCTTGCCCTCAAGGAAGTTATAGTCTATAAGGGGAGACAATGCATACATATATATAACTAGATACAGAATATACACAAGAGGTATACTTGTCCATTTGGGAAGGAAGGCTACTAATAGCATTAGCAAGGGGATAAGGGATTAGGGTTAGGGTTAGGAACAGGTAGTCAATAGTCATACTCTGTTCTGCCCTTGTCAGTCCTCATCTGAGTAGTAAGTTCAATTCTGGGTGCCATGGTTTAAGAAGGACATTGATAAGCTAGAAAGGAGCTAGTAGAGTGTATCCCAGATGGAGAAGGGCCTTAAGTCTCTCACATATGAGCATTGGTTGTAGGGAATGAGCATGTTTAGGGTAGAGAATAGATAATTTGGGTGGGGCATGAGAATTGTGTTCAAGTATTTGACTTGGGTAGTTTTAGTGTCAGAAGAGAGAAGGGGGCATGTAAAAGGTGCATTGGAGGCAAACTGAAAAGACTTTTCAACAGATTAGATATGGAGCTGAGGATGCCACCAAGGTAAGCCTGGGTGACTAGAGGATGGTGCTGGCTTTGACAAGGAAACTCAGAAAAGGGAGTTTAGGAAGTGGACAGAACTGGGAAGGTGAGATAATGAGTTCTGTTTTGGACACGTTGAGATTAAGATGTCTATGGGACATCTAGTTTGAGATGTCTACCAGGCGGTTGGAGATGCAAGTCTGAAGGTTAGGAGAAAGGTTAGGGCTATGTAAGTTGATTTAAGAATCATCAGCAGAGGGATTATAGTTGAATCAGTGGGAGTTAATGAAATCACCAAGTGCAATAGCATAGACTAGGGAGAAGAGAAGAGGGCCTATGGCATAGCCCGGGTGGGGGGATACCCCACTATTATTGAGTGTGTCCAGGATGAAGATTCAGCAATGGAGACTGGAAGGAGTGGTCAGACATGAAGAAGAAGCAGGATAGAGAAATATCACAGAAACCTAGAGAGAAGAAATTATCAAGGAGAAGAGGGTGACTGGGAAGTCGAGAAGGATGAGCACTGGGAAAGTCCATTAGATTTGACAGTCAAGAGATCATTAGTAATTATGGAGAGAGTAGTTTCAATTGAGGGCAGCAAGGTAGTACAGTGGATAGCATGGCAGGCCAGGAGTCAGGAAGACTCATTTTCCTAAGTTCAAATACGGCCTCAGAAGTGTGACCCTGGGCAAGTCACTTAACCCTGTTTGCCTCAGTTTCCTCATCAGCATAATGAGCTGAAGAAGGAAATGGCAGACCACTTCACTATCTTTGCCAAGAAGAGTCAGACATGACTGGAACTACTGAACAACAACAACAACAATGTTTCAGTTGAATGATGAGATTAGAAGCCAGACTGTAGAGACTTCAGAGGAGAATGAGAGGAAAAGAAGTGGAGACATCAATTACAGATGGCCTTCTCAAGGAGGTTGGCCAAAAAGAAACAAGAAAAAAAAAAGGATGAGCTCATCACTTTCAATCTATCATCTGGAAGTCTGTTCAGCTTTGATAGTCAATACCTCAGCACCCTCAATTGCCTCTCGGCTCTGATTGGAAGGCTGGAGAGTGGAGTAACGAACTCTTCCCAAGGCCTTCCATTCTAGAGATCTCAGCTAACTTTATTTACCATTAGCTGCCCTGCTTAGTTTCAATGCTGCAAATTATACCATGTCTCCCGTCCCCTCTCCCCAACACACCTTTCTGATATGTATCCTTTGGTGGTGGTTGTGGGGAGGGAGGTCCCACTCCTTTCCCTTTTGTTTCCTTTTGTGTTTGCGGAACAGTCTTTCTGATTTGTATTCTAGTGCTTAGCACATAATAGGCACCTCGTCATCATCATCATCATCATCATCATCATCATCATCAACATTTATGGATCACATACAGTGTGTCTACACTGTGCAAATCACTTTACAATCACTATCTCGCCTGGGAGCTGGGTGCTATTATTACCCCCATTTTACAACTGAAGCAAACAAACAGTGGTTAAATGACTTGCTCAGGGTCACCTAGCTAGGAAGTGTTTAAGGCTGGATTTGAATTCAGTTCTTCCTGATTCTAAGCCCAGCACTCTACCTACTGTGCCACCTAGTTGCCCCTAGCTAACTTAATAAATATTCATTGACAGATTGACTGAAAAAGGAGAGATATAGGATGAGGAACAATGGAAATGGACTATCAGGTGAATTAAAAATGCCATGGCAAGCCGAGTATTGGAAAATTAGAGTACATTTACTTATCTGTCTCCTCCTACCTTCCCTTAGCGGAACTGAAGTTCCTCAGGGACTGATACTGATTCATTTTTGTCTTTGCATCCCAAGTACTGGGCTCATAGACACTGTAATAAATGCTTGTGGAATGGTATTGAATATCAAATTCTTGTAGGAAAGCAATAGCTATTGTTCCTTAGTCTGTCCATCCATGGTATGTCAAGAAAGTTGCTAGTGAGTCTGCCACACCTCAAATCTGCTGAAGAGCAGGGCTTGTGGGATATTGGTCAATAAAGTATACTAAACCCCATTGAATAAACTCATATTCTTGAATCTCTCTCTCTTCTTCCATCTTTCCATCTTTGTCTCTCTTTGTCTCTGTCTGTCTCTGTCTCTCTTTGTCTCTGTCTGTCTCTGTCTCTCTGTTTCTCTCTCTCTCTCTCTCTCTAGCTTATATGATATTTAAAAGGGACCAGGAAGCCCAGGGGGCACAGGAGAAAATTCCTAACTTTGTACAAACATAAAAATTTATAAAAATGACTCCTCTATAATTAAATTAGAACTTTCAACAATAATCTTAAAATATAAAAATCATAATTGTTCCCAAGAAGAAAATAGAAATGATTAACAAATGATACTTGCTTTATACCCAGTGGTATTTTCCATGCAGTCCCCTGAAAAGGATGGAATTGAATGCTCCTTAGACTGCCACCATGAAGGGATGAGAGAAGAGCCAATATTTTTCTCTCTTAGTCAAACACAAGAGAAAGAAACAAAGTGCTTCCAAAAAATACAAAACAAAAACAAAAACAAAAAAAACTGTATCGTGAAGTCCCACCAAGTACTTCCAGCCAAATCAAGTCACATACTAGGATCCACACCTCCATCTTAAGAGTTAGAGGTACATTATCTTATGCACCCTGAATTCTGCCAGATTTGAAGGCAAATAGGAATATTGCCCACTTTTTCCAAAGATTATATCCATTCAGAATCAAATGGTTCTTGCCCTTTTCATAACAGAAAGCTTCTTTGTCAGTCAGACTTATTGGGGACCACCTCCTGACTGAAGTTGAGTTTAAGAATTCGATTTAATTGGGGGCAGAGCCAAGATGGCGGAGTGAAAGCAGTGACTTGCTTGAGCTCTTCCCCAAACCCCTCCAAATACTCATAAAAAATGGCTCTAAATAAATTCTGAAGCAGCAGAACCCACAAAAAGACAGAGTGAAACAAATTTCCAGCCCAAGACACCTGGATGATTGATCAGAAAGGTGTATTGTGCCGGGCTGGGAGCGCAGCTGGGTGCACAGGCCGCAGCGTGGGCGTGCAGGCTGCAGCAAATCTGGAGCAGGCCTCAGAGGACTGAATTGCGGGCAGCTGTGGAGGTTTCCAGACTCCTCAATCCACAAATGCCAAAGACAACTTAGAAGGTCGGTGGGAAAAGTCTGTTTCTGTAGGTGCTGAGACAGGAAGGCAGGGTTTCAGCTCCATTCCCCAAAAGCGTGGCCCTGGGGGGGGGCAGCTGCTTCCCAAGCTTCAGGCCCACAGACTGAGGGGGAATCCAGTGGCTGATCAGAGAGGGACTGCAGGGATCTGTTTGCCAGTGCTGAGGCAGGAATCTCTTGCTTTGCCCATGTGTGGATCTGGGTCACAGTTCTGGGCGGCAGTGCTGGGGTGAGGAGGAACTCTGGCGTGGTGGAGCTTGTAGTGGCTGTAGAGAGGAACCTCTCCTCACAGTTACGGGACAGAAAGGAATACTTGTGGTCACAGGCCAGGAAAGGAGTAAACATCACCCCTTTTCATACCACCTTGGAAGAACTGAAAATTTACAGGTCCCTACAAGTATCTCTGAAAACAGCTACACAAACCCCTGAAGCTTGGGACAGTATACTCTCCACATTGGAAGCAGACTCTTACCTTAACAAACAGTTTAAAACTCAAGTAATTGGCTGGGATCATGAGCAAGCAGCGCAAAAAGAGTCAGACTATATTATCTTACTTTGGTGAAAAAGAAGATCAAAATATACAACCAGAAGAAGACAACAAAGTCAAAGCTCCTACATCCAAAGCCTCCAAGAAAAATATGAATCAGTCCCAGGCCTTGGAAGAGCTCAAAAGGGATTTTGAGAAGCAAGTAAGGGAAGTAGAGGAAAAACTGGGAAGAGAAATGAGAGTGATGCAAGAAAATCATGAAAAACAAGTCAACAGCTTGCTAAAGGAGACCCAAAAAAATACTGAAGAAAATAACACCTTAAAAACTAACCCAAATGGCAAAAGAGGTCCAAAAAGCCAATGAGGAGAAAAATGCCCTAAAAAGAAAAATTGGCCAAATGGAAAAGGAAGTCCAAAAGATTACTGAAGAAAATACTTCCTTAAAAATTAGAATAGAGCAATTGGAAGCTAGTGACTTTATGAGAAATCAAGACACTGTAAAACAAATCCAAAAGAATGAAAAATTTTTAAAAAAATGTGAAATATCTCATTGGAAAAACAACTGACCTGGAAAATAGATCCAGGAGAGAGAATTTAAAAATTATTGGACTATCTGAAAGCCATGATCAAAAAAAGAGCCTAGACATCATCTTTCAAGAAATTATCAAGGAAAACTGCCCTGATATAGTAGAACCAGAGGGCAAAATAGAAATTGAAAGAATCCACAGATCTCCTCCTGAAAGAGATCCCCAAAGGAAAACTCCTAGGAATATTATAGCCAAATTCCAGAGTTCCCAGGTCAAGGAGAAAATATTACAAGCTGCCAGAAGGAAACAATTCAAGTACTGTGGAAACACAATCAGGATAACACAAGATTTAGCAGCTTCTACATTAAAGGACCAGGGCATGGAATATAATATTCCGAGGGCAAAGGAGATAGGATTACAACCAAGAATCACCTACCTGAGTATAATCCTTCAGGGGAAAAAATGGTCATTCAGTGAAATAGAGGACTTTCAAGCATTCCTGATGAAAAGACCAGAGCTAAACAGAAAATTTGACTTTCAAATACAGGACTCCAGTGGAACATGAAGAGGTAAACAGGAAAGAGAAATCATAAGAGACTTATTAAGATTGAACTGTTTACATTCCTGCATGGAAAGATGATATTTGTAACTCATGAGAACTTTGTCAGTATTAGGGTAGTTGAAGGAAAAAAATTGTATGTATGTATATATAGATAGATAGATAGAGGGCACAGGGTGAGTTGAAGATTAAGGGGTCATATCTGGAGAATAAAATTAAGGGATGAGAGAGGATTATACTCGGAGAGAAGAAAGGGAGAGGTAGAATGGGGTAAATTATCTCACAAAAAAAACAGAAAAGAAAAGTCTCTCACAGTGGAGGGGAAACAGGGGAAGGTGAGAGGGAATGAATGAATCTTATTCTCATAGGATTTGGCTTAAGGAGAGAATAACATACACATTCAATTGGGTATGGAAATCTGTCTTACCCTACAGGAAAATAGGGGGAGAAGGGGACAAGAGAGCAGGGGGTGATAGAGAGGAGGGCAGATTGGGAAAGAGGGTAATCAGAAGCAAATACTTCTGAGGAGGGACAGGGTCAAAAGAAAGAATAGAATAAATGGGAGGGCAGGATAGGATTAAGGGAAATAGAGTTAGTTTTTCACAACATGTCTACTAAGGAAGTGTTTTGCATAACTGCACATGTACAACCTATATTGAGTTGCTTGCCTTTTCAATGAGGGTGGGTGGGGAGGGAGGAAGGGAGAAAATTTGGAACTCAAAGTTTTAAAAACACATGTTTTAAAAAAATGTTTTCACATGCAACTGGGAAATAAGAAATACAGGAAATGGGGTACAGAAGTCTATCCTGCTATACAGGAAAATAGAAGGGGAAGGGGATAAGAGAAGGGAAGGGGGAGAGATAGAAGAGAATGCAGACCAGGGGAAGGGGTATTCAGAATGCATGCCATCTTGGGGTGGGGGGAGGGGTGACAAATTTGGAAATCAAAAACTTGCGGAAGTGAATATTGAAAACTAAAAATAAATAAATGTATATTAAAAAAAAGAATTCAATTTAATTTAATTTGATTCAATACAATTCAATCAACACATTAAATGTCTTCTATGTTTGGCATATTGTGCTAGGTATAGAGGAGCAAAAAGAAAAAAAATAAGTTCATGTCCTCAAGGGGCTTACAATCTACACGTACACCTATAAGCACAAAGTATATGTAATTCAAAATAATTTCAAGAGGTTATAGGCACTACCTCCTGGGAAGAAGAGACCAGGAATGGCCCCTGAGCTGCTGTGAAGACTTCCAAGGGGCAGAGATGAGGAGGAAACACGTTCCATATATGGGGGACAACTGGTCCAAGGCATGCAACAGAGGCATGAAACCACAAATAAGAACCACAAATAGGCCACTTTGACTAGAATATAGAGTATTTTGGGGGAGTAATATGCATATTTGGATTGGTAGTCTAGAGCTTGATTGTAAAGGGTCCTAAAGGACAAACAAAGGGGTTTGCGTTTTCTTCTGGAGTGATAAGGAGTTTAGTGCAGACTTTAGGCAATGCTGGTGAATTCCACCTCTTTATTCCCAATAGCTAGAAGGCAAGTGAGTGTCATCTGTCTGTATGGCCAAGCAGGCTGAACAGACAGGCCCAAGTAGGAGGTCCGGGGGAGGGAGGATGTTGGAGGATCACCCTTTGGCTGGATCTTAGACTCCTACTCAAAGATACTTCCTGATTCACACAGTGCTCAGCTAAAGCACTGAGCTAGAGAAAGGACTTCTTTGAAGAAAAGGAAACATCTGTTTTCCAAAACCAAGATTCTAGCTGAAAAGAACCAACAGGAGCTCAGCAAAGATGAACGAGACTGTCTGCATAAACCATTGAGCTCTCAGAGAGAAAGGTGAAACTGCATTAAAGTCCAGTCCCATTATGATCATCCATCTTTGTTTAGGTCATTGCAGTGGCCTATTCTGCCAATGGGGCTCTAATGCTGAGGATTTATACTTTTTCTCTGGATTCAGTTATGCTCTCAAGAGAGTGACAGGCCCCTGAGTCCATCATTAGAATGAGGCCCCTGACAGGCCCCCAAATCCATCACTAGAATGAAGCCCCCTCCTCCTCCTCCTCCTCTTTATGAGAGGGTCAGTGGAATCTTTTGTTTATGGCTTGTCAGCCTGTTTCCATTAAATGTCAAATAAGAGTTAATTAGATTTCCTTCTGGTAATGAGGCCCATCCCATAAATCTCACCTGCTGTCCAGCAGCCCCTCTGTGTGCCAGCAAGGTGGCATGGCTCTTTGTCTGGGCAGGAGGAGCATCATTTGTCTACTTCAACTTGGCCAAAACAGGGTTTCATCTGAAGCTTCTCCAGGCAACCGAGATTGGTCCATTAGGTTAAATGTATTTAATCCAACTCATTTCACAGTCATTTATTTTAATCATGGAAAGGTCAACTGTCACCACCCAAATGTTAGACTTAATTTGTTTTCTTGATTCACATCATATTTGTAATCATTTGCCCTTATATTTTTTTAAAGTCATTTGCCAATGGGGAACACAGCTAGGTGAGGGCTTAAGGAAAATAAGAGAGGATTGGGCTATGGGAGTTAGGGAAAGTTTCTTATAATCATGACAGAGTCAAAGCTACAGCTTATTATACTGTAGGAGGCTGAAGGATGTCTTAGTTGACCTTTCCTGTCACCTTTTAGCTTAGAGATCTTTTGTTTCTACATTTTTTCTTCCTTGGATTAGAAGCAAGGTGCTGTAGTTGAAAGAACATAGTTTTAAGAAAGAGAAAAACTGACTTCTAGCCCTGGACCCAACATTAACTACCTTCAACAAATCCTGTTACCTCTCTGATTCTCTTAATAAATGAAAAAGTTGGACTAGACAATCTCAAAGGTTCTTTTAAACTCTAACAATATGTGTTCTAATGGCCTTTCCAGTTTTGACATTCTGTTTTCTAAGGTCCGTTCTGACTCTGACATTCCATGTTCTAAGATCTCTTGTAGTTCTGACATCCTGTGGCTCTATGAATCCATCATTCTTACCAACATGAGTCCAAATTTAGGGATGTAGGTGATAGGAATGTTGAGTTCAGTTCTATCTTCCTCTTGGCAAATGTTTTATTTTTCCTCCACAGAATTTCCTCCCTATACCAAGTAGGAGATGCATGGAGTTTTCACATTGGAGTGTAATTAAGAAGAGACAGCAGGTATGGCATCATACATGGGTAATCAAATAGAAACAGCATGGAGACATTTAGCTCTTCCCACTGAACCAAAAATAAGACTTCTTAAATGTAAATGTAATTGGCCTGTAGAGCTAACACTTAATCATTGAGGTAAAAGGCCCAGAAAATGGAATTAGTGGGGAGAGCCTAGGAGGTTATGACGCTTCTCCATTTGTTCACATATCATATTTAATTTTAGCCAAAGACCCTCTTCCTTCATGAATAATTCTGGCCCAAGTTAGGATGGCTATTTAAGGTTTGCAAAGCTCTTTCCTCATAGCAGCTTGGAAGTCGTCGTCTTTGACCTCAAGCTAAGATGCTCCTGATTTCAAGTTTCTGTAGGTTATCCCCTTTGCCTTTGAGCATGTTAGCACTGACTACCTTCATTCATCCATTGATTCAGTCCTTCATTCATTTAAAAAATACTTAAGTTCCTCCTCTGTGTTTTTAAAACACTTTGTTGGGCAGTAAGGCAGATGCCAGGTTTGGATAAGATACATTCCCTACCCTCAGAGAGCTTAGAGTCTAGTAGGAAAATGCAGTAAGATTCAAGAACAAATAATGATAGTATCCGAATTATAAGGTGAACCCATTAAAGAGAATATTCCTTATGAGGCTGAGCAATGCTCCAAAGTGGGCAATATTCTCAGGCTGCCAATTTAAGGGGCATTTGATGAGCATGTATTTCTCTAAAGTAGCATCTTAACCAGTTCAACCATATCAGCTTATATTTAGTGCTTGGAGGGTCCCTTTGAGATTGTTTAATCTTGGGGCAGCTGGGTGGCTCAGTGGATAAAGCTCTGACCTTGGAGTCAGGAGGACCCGAGTTCAAATCTGACCTCAGACATTTGACACTTACTACCTATGTGACCTTTGGCAAGTCACTTAACCCCGATTGCCTCATCAAAAAAAAAAAAAGAGATTATTTAACCTATCCCCAGCCCATTTTACAAAATCGGAAACTGAAGCTTGGTTAAGTGATTTGTCCAAGATTGTACATGTAGTAAATGGCAGGATTAGGATTGAAGCTCATGCCTCACGACTACAATGTCAATCTTCCTTCCATAGTATCTGGGTTGGAGGTGGAGGTTGGTACTGAGGTAAAACTAAAACCACTCCTCCCATCCTGTCGTTCACTCCACCATCAGCTCAGTTGAGTCTTGGGCTTCCTTGTGAAAGACAGGAGATAGGGGACATCTTGGTACTTAAGCTCCGGCCTATGCTAGGGATAGGGAGAAAGGTCAGGTCCAGGCTCAGCATTCTGGTCTTTCTGGGGCCACCTCATCTCTTAGTAGAGTCTTCTCCCTCCCGTCTCTACTATCGACCCAAAGGGCTTTAATTGGGGATAGGTGGATGAAGGGAGTAGGCTAGATGCACTTATGTCCCTGATGAGGGGCTGGGCCTCCTTGGGGACCCCACTGCCTCTTGATCCCTTGTAATAGGAATGATCCTCAACACCCCTATTATAACCATAAGCTTTTCTTTCTCTGGATACTTTGCCCTCCTACGCTGCCGAATGTTGTTGTTCAGCTGTTTCAGTCATGTCTGACTCTTCATGACCCCATTTAGGGTTTTCTTGGCAAAGACATTAGAACGGTTTTGCCATGTCCTTCTCCAGCTCATTGTGCAGATGAAGAACGGAAGCAGGTGGAGGTTGAATGACTTGCCCAGGGTCACGCAGCTAGTAAGTATCTGAGGCTTGATTTGAACTCAGGCCTTCTGCACTCTATCCAATGTACCACCTAGCTGCTCCAACTGCTGCACATTTCCCAAAAAGGGGAATGAATTTGTGACTGGGATGTACTTGCATCCTTAACTGCTTGTCCTGAGTTATGAGACCAGGGGCTGCTGTTCTCAGTGAAAGAGTGCTGGGGTGGGGGGCCAGCTTTTAATGACTTGGCTAAGCATACTCTGGCCAGAGAGGCTGGAGACCTGGCTTCTAGTCCTTCCTTGGGTACTATTTCTGAATTTCTATTTTATCCTTTAGAAATGAGAGAATAGAACAAGGTAACCTCTCAATTTCCCCTGTAGCTGTAATAGCCTGTGATTCTCTAAGATTTGAGTTCACGTCACCTGTGCCTCAGTACAGACTCAAACACAAATAGGTACTGATTTCTTTTAAAACTCAGCTCAGAGAATAGATTCTACATGAAGTCTTTCCCTGCAAATCATCCTGTATTTATTTTGAATTTATCCTGTCACTTTTATATGTACATATTGTCTTACTCAGTGGAATGATAGTTTCTTGGAAGACAGGGACTATTATTATTATTTTTTTTATCTTGACACTCTAATGGCTAATCCAGTGCCTGGCACATAGTACACTTGTTAATCAATTGATGCTTTGGGCAGAGAGGAAGCTCCAGCAGACGTCTGGGCAACCAAGATCCCTGATCACTATACCACAGTCAAAAGACACAGGCCATTGAGCCGGCAATCTCACTACCAGGTATGTGTCACAAGAATTAGAACCAAAGATCTGACACATTTCAGAAAGGTTCATAGCAATGTTTTGTGGTAACAAAGACCTAGAAACAAAGTGGGTATGCATTGATTGGGCAATGGCTGAAAAACTCATGGTACATGAATGTCTCTGTGTCAGGCTATGATCTTCCCTCCCTGGCCCCCATCTCTTATCTGTGCCCATTTCTTTCTGAATGACTGCTGATGTAGTTTAATAACAATATGGGTTCTCTTTCTACTTTCATTGGTCTTCAACCACATAATCTCCAACATGGGAGCCCCATGAATCGGAAAGACTTTGAAGTCAGAAGACGTGGATTCAACTCCTGCTTCTGAGACTCACTTCTTGTGCGCCTTAAGCAAGTCACTTAACCACTCTGGGCCTCAGTTTCCTCCTTTGTAAAAGGATGCAGTTGGACTAGATAGCTTTTGATGTTTCTCCTACCTCTAGATTCATGGTCTCCTTGCTTTGTTTCCTGGCTTTCCTAACACGAGTATATTTTCTTAACATACAAACATAGCTCTGCCTTCATCTGTCCTGTTTCTTTTAAAACTATATACATTTTATTTATGCCAATTCTGTTTTATCACAGTCATTCTTCTCCTCCATCCCTTGCCCCACCCAGTAAATCTTTATGAAAATAACTAAAGAAAATACCACCATTCCAGCTTACTACCTGTGTGATATAGGATGAATCACTTAACCCTCCTCTGCCTTGGTTTCCTCCTCTGTAAAGAGTAGTTGGATTTGATGGCCTCCAAGATCCCTTTCCATTCTGGAGCTCATAGATGCTATGATTCAGCATGGTGATTGTCTCTGACAATGTATGCCATGTTCTATCTTTCAGACTCTCCTCGCCTCTCTCCACCCCCTCAGTTTTCCACTCTGAAGAAATAGCTATGTTTCATTATCAGAAGTACAGGATTTCCATTATTTAAAAAGTTACTCAGAGTTAAGCTTCCTTTCAGTGGTCTTTCCATTTCATATTTTCTTGGTTCTGCTTATTTCATTCTATGTAAAAATTTCTCTGAATTCTTCCCCCCAGGTTTCTTGGAATTTCTCTTAATTGTCACTCCTTACTATGCAGTAATATTCCATTAAATTCATATGCCATAATTCTTTTAAGCATTCCCTACTTAATGGGCATCCAATTTGTTTCTAGATTTTTTTTTTTACCATTACCATGAGTTCTGCTATGCTATTTTGTTAAAGATTGAATTTTGTTTTTTGTCTTTGACTTCCTTACTGTATATGCCCAGCATTGGGATCACTGTATCCAATCTTTTTCATAAAGGGAAATATACTTTTTATAGCCATATTTCACTTATAGATGTTCATTCATTTCAGTTGTGTCCAACTCTTCATGACCCCTTTGGAGTTTTATTGGCAAAGATACTGGAATGGTTTGCCATTTCCTTCTCCAGCTCATTTTACAGATGAGGAAACTGAGACAAACAGGGTTAAGTGACTTACCCAAGGTCCTGCAGCTAATAAATGGCTGAGGCTGGACTTGAATGCAGGAAGATGTCTTTCTGACTTCAGGACCAGCACTCTATCTACTGTGCCACCTTGTTGCCCCAATTCTCAGTGACATTTGTGTCTAGATTTGCTTCTTTGCTTTAGGACACTAACTGAACTTGCCTGTTATTCATGCTTTGTACATGAAAGATCATCACTGCCACCTCTCCTTAGAACTTAGTGGTGAAAGTTTAGCACCCTATAACCCTGTGCATTGAGCCCTGGGAATGGTAGTGCGCTCTCTCCCTTTCTTCCCTTCAGGCTATCTATCTGGCTTCCAGCTGGAGCCCCCAGGCCGCTAGGAGATTAGACCAAATCACCCTAAGCATCTAGGCATCTTTGCCTTCTGACTTACAACTGAAGTCACTTGTACTTGCTCTCCCCCTATCAGAATGGGAATTCCTTGGAAGCAAGTCAATAGGTCAAGTCAGCATATATTTATGAAACACTTAGTATGTGCCAGATTGCTAAGCCCTAGGAATACAAATACAAGCAAAAAGAAAGATAGATTCTGCCTTCAAAGAGCTTACATTCTAATGGGGAAAGAAAAACATAAAAAGGATCCTAGGGAGAAGGTACCCACATTGGGGCGTGGTAGAGAATGTATAGAGGGTCAGGAGTGGAGCCTGCAGAGGGATGAAGACACAGCCAGCCTGGGAGCTTTTTTTTTTTTTTAAATGGAGGTTTTGGGAAGAACCAACCAATCAGAGGAAGGAGCCTGCAGGATCAAAGTATGCCTCCAGTTTGAGAAGTCCAGAGGTACAGGAGACTGCTATGGCAGTAGATAAACATAAGAATTTCATTTTTTAGTAATTTTTCAGTCATATTTGACTCTTTGTGATCTCTTTTGGTGTTTCTTGACAGAGATACTGGAGTAGCTTGCCATTTCCTTCTCCAGTTCATTTTAAAGATGAGGAAACCGAGGCCAACAGGATTAAATGACTTGCTCAGGGTCACACAGCTAGTAAGATTCTGAGGCTGAATTTGAATTCAGATCTTC